ATGTTGTTGTTTGTGGGTTGATTTTCATGATAATATCAAAAGTCAGAATCTTAAGAAGATGCTGGAAAATTGATGATACGATAAGAAGGAGGTGGAGGATGAGAGATGAAGATGAAGATGAAGATGTCGATCCTTGGAGGAGATTTATTTCAATTCCTCTGTAAGATATTTATACACATTGAAAGAAATATGAATGAATGGAAAATAAATAAATTACAAGAAACATGAAACTCTTGCAGAAAAAGATGAAGAAGAAAAAGTTTCTCATCTATTGATAAACACCGAAAGATGATGTAGGTTGATGTGTTGTAGATGATGAGGAAGACATATTGTTAATCCTTATTGGAACTGATTATTCAGTTCATTGATTCCAATCAACTGTGAGACTGTCAAAGTTAATTGTAATTCTAGAATATATTTTGTTTAATTGTTTCTGACAACAACAGTTAGAAGGTTAAATAATCAAGCAAACAGTGAAATCAAAATTATCGTAACATTTTCATTAACAACAATAGATTCATTGTTTTGTTTTTCTAAATCAACAATCAATTGATTTGCTAAGTGTTGATTGTTACAAATGAGTTTCCAAATAAAAAAAAATTAAAGCTTTTTGATGGTTAATTGAAGAAACCATCTCAGCAATTATCTTTTCAAACTAATTAATACACATACAGTTTTTCATTTTAATTGTTAATTTTGTTTTGATTATCATGTTGATTCCCAAGTTAATCCTTCCAATAATCTTTATGTATGATAAGATAATTAAGAGTCTAGTTAATGAGTTGAGATCAACAATTGGAATGCATAAATTGATCTTGTTAACTGATTTGATTGCTGAACAAAAATCCATAATTGCGATTGATTGGAAATAGTTTATGATATTATATGTTGGCTCCCATTTGCTTTGATTGTTTGGTACGAGCTTGAAAAGGTCGCTCATTTTTAATTGCTGTCAATCATTTTAATTAAACGCTATTTAGTTAAGATTAATTATCGTAACTTGATGAGACATCAAAGAGTTGTAAAAGACTCAATTGAAGATTGAGAAACAATTTACTGATTGTATGATAACATTTAACTATCTGTTGATTATCTCACTCATTGGAATCCTAATAAAAACTCAGTGAATGTAATATAATGTATACATTACATGATAATTAACTGATGGAATCACATGAACTTGAAGTTATAAATTGTCAATCCAAATCCAAAATGATGTTTCAAGAAATATGATGTTGATGAAAAGGAAGATGATGCGGATGATGAAGCATGAGGATGATGATGATTATGATGATGAAAAAGATGAGGATAAAAAAGGCTATCCAATAATCAATGTTAAACTGCGAAGATGATGATGAAAACTATGATTTGGAAGAGAGACAAAAATATCATTTGGAAGAAAGATAAATAGACAGAGAAGATGGTTGATCGTCACTAGTGTATAAAGAGTGAGAGAATGAATTTTCAGAGAGAGAGAGAGAGAGAGAGAGAGAGAGAGAGAGAGAGAGAGATGATGAGATTTCTGAAGATCAAATGAGTTCCCTTACAATTGATGACAATTTTCATGTCAACGGGTTTTTCCAAAGTAACACAACAAGATGATGATAAGGTTTGTGATGCTATTTCCTCATCATTTTCAGCATCATCATCACCCATCCACCTCTTATCTTCATCTTCATCTTCACACTGAATCATTTCATGGTTTTTTTTTGCTACAGAAAAAGATCAAAAGTCTGAGAGAAAAAGTGTTTTAATAAAATGCATGAAGTTTTCCTCCTCTTTCCTCATGTTATTTCAACGTTGGAGTCAAATGTCATCGTGAACATGATGATGATGCTAAAGATGAGTAACATGAAATTGTTAATGAAATTCAGATGATATTTGTTTGATGGACAATGTTGATAATATTGAATCGCTTTTGTTGTCAACCCAAAGTTTTTCATCTTTTTTTCTCATTGAATCAGAAAATTCTGGTTCCATGAATGATTTTCACCCTGAACAGCAACAAAATGAACAACAAATCACCATAATAATAATCATTACCATAATTAGACATGATGATGACTGATGAAAATCTTGAATGATTAATAATAGTGATAATTGTCATCTAATCATATTTGTAATGGTAATTATGACTTTCAGATCAAATCGTTTCTCATTGTAATCAAATATTTCCCTTTCTAATGTATTAAATTAAAGGCAAATGATCAACGTTGGTTAATCTAATCATTGTGTTAATATTGATTAAAATACATGATGACAATTCATACAGTTGCATTTGTATTGATGGGCAAGATGTGTTTTTGATTGTTGTTGCTGTAATTAACTAATGTCAATCATTAGCTTCTTATTGCCTTCAGGCTATCGACGTTGATTGTTAGTTTTAAATTTTGCATTTTTAATTGGCCAATTGTTGTGATTAGTTGAATATATTACTTGGCTATTTGCTGTCTTTATTAAACTGAGATACAATTACAACAGTTTGTAAGGTGCATCCAAATTACCTGTAAGGTAAGACAAATACATTTGTAACATTTATGTATTTACCTAAATTGTTAGTATTACAATTGTATCTATTTTATTAATAGCTGCAAAATGATTTCCTTGATTGTCTAAAATACAAAAAATTGATTCAAATTAGTTAATTGTTTGAATACATGTAAATTTTGAAGCATTGAAAAAAAAAAGATTTCACCTTCAAGTGTTAACTAAATCACCATGTTGATTTGATAAGATTAAAGTTGATTAATTGAATCAATCATTTGCTCTTGGAAACCAAAGAGAAAATTAAACCGATTTCATCAATAGTGATTAGTGTTGATTGATTGTTACAGATTAGACAATAAGTGATTTTCAATTGCTCTTTGATTATTTATAATGATATAAATGTTATTCACAATTTAAGATGATCAAATTTTTATGTTAACCTTTGACAAGATTGATTCTAATGGGAAAAATATCAAAGTATCAATCTCATTGTAAACTATTAAACTCAGGCCCACCCCATAGACCCTCCAGCTCAGGATCCAATCAGTTGATAGTAATAATAACAAATTCTGTACATTTCTAAACATTTGCTCGTCCCCTCAGGCTAAATGTTATCATATTACGATTCTTAATCGATCTGAAAACTTACATGAGAGATGGAAAAGTAAATTAAAGAAAATAAGCTGAATATGCTTCTTTTTTTCTCGATTTTGACCAATCAGATGATTTACTTTGGTTAAATCGACATCAATCATGTTTAACTTAAATCATTTAACTATTTAATTTGATTCATATTAACATCTAAATCTATAAACTGTCAGTGAATCGATTGCGGCGATTGTTAGATTGTTATTTTCCCAACTGAAAATTCAATGATTTCAAGTCAATCACTTGATTCTCAAGGATGTTGATGGTTAACAATTAACTTTTTGTGGTTCATGATTAACTCTTAACTAACCAAAGTTATCAGATCATGAAATTCAGGTTAGATTCACAGTTTTCATGGTAAATTATACTCCAATTTCTTGGTGAAAGTATTAGCCTATTACCGGAAACAGAATTGATGAAAACATTTCTAAACTTTTCGGTTTGATGTTACTATTATCTATCGATTTCAATGTAATACTAATCATCATTATCTGAATAGTAATTAAATATCAATTACATTTGATAATCTAAGGTTTCCTTGTGTTCATCATTTAGATGATAAATTGGAAGATACTTTTAATGTTCTGGAAAATTGAATCTTTTTCAAGTAAATCAAATCTAATTAAGTATAAATCATTAATCTTGTTTCAATTTTTTGAAACAATTAACGTGTAACAATTAGTGATTTTGGAGGAAAGTTAATTACCATTTGGTTTTAATTATCATCGATTGACTCTGGACAATTTTGATTACAATTTGATTGCAATTCATTCAAATTGAGTTAATCATCAGTTTTTAAACTTTTCATTGTCAATTAATTGCTCATGTTGATTGCTGTTGACAAGTTTAAGGTTACAGAGTAATCATTTTTCAGGATAATTATAATCCACTAATTTACTTGTGCATTGAATTTATTAGAAACATTAAAGTTTGATGTAAATTTAATTGCACCAAATTAAATCGTCTATTAACTAATTTCACTGAAAAAGTGAATCAAAGTTGTTCATCCGTTTGAAAAGCTAAATTTTCAGGTAATTTGTTAATTCAATTACACGAAATCAAATCAGCTTGTCAAAATCACGATTAACTTTGAGAAAATAATTTAAATACTCAACAGATTGACAGATTTAATCGTAAATTACTTAATGTCTACAATTAACTGATTAACTACGTTTACTTTGCCAAGTTTAAGATGAAAATCGCTTCACAATTAAGAAATAAACAATCAAGGGATTTGAAGGGATTTTAATTTATTGAATAATTGATAGATTATTAGTTAATTGTTATTGCGTGATTAGGATATTGACATGGAAACAAAAACATTATCGTTAAATGAGATAACATGAAATAGATTTAATTTTGCTAAATTTTCGTTAGTAAAATCGAATCAAATTACAATCGAGTGTAATTAACATCTTTTTGTCAATTACAATCAGCTAACAATTTACCGAAAATCTCAAGAGGAAACATAAAGTAATAATATTATCATTGAAACTTTAGAACCTGAATATCGAGCTTAATGTCCACGAATTAAGTTGATTAAACTAATTGACATGAAACCAGAATGTAAATTCAATCGTATCAATAAGATTCAATTTCAACTGCTGATGATGATCAATGTTTTAATCAAACACATCTACAGTTTATCAGCAATTAACAGAAAGAAATTAATCAAAAGAGTTAAATGAAACAACTAAAGTAGTTAACGATTAAATAACTGAAGATTTACCCTGATCATTGTTAATAATTAAACCGATTTAAAGGAGATTACATTTGATCAAATTGAATTGGATCGTTCATTGAACTTATTGGATGTACCGAATTTCATTTAGATGATTAATTAATTTCTCTTTAATTTTCCTCAGGTAAAGCAGTTCCTTTCGTCGAGATGGTTGTTGCCCATGGATCCATTTTAACGATGATGGCCATTAGCTTCGAGCGCTATTATGCAATTTGTAAGCCATTGAAAGCCGGTTACAAGTGTACGAGATTACGAGCGGTCATAATTATATTTTCCGTTTGGACAATAGCGGTCATTTCAACTGTTCCGATCCTTTGGATCGCTGAGCTTTCTCATGAAACTTATATCGATGGAAGTTTAGTTCCAGTTTGTTTAACTCAGGCCAATAAACTTTGGCATAAATTGTACTTCATAGGGACAATGATCGCTTTCTTTTGGTCTCCGCTCTTGATCTTGATCATTATCTACATAATGATTACCAAACGACTTTTCCTCAATGATAGTATTCGAACCTCAACCAACCAGGGGAGTCACGAATGCAGCCAAATGAGAGCCCGACGGCAAGTGGTCTACATGTTGGCCACTGTAATCGCTTGTTTCTTTATTTGTCTTCTTCCCTTTCGCTTATTCACATTGTGGTTACTCCTTTCATCCACTGATCAAGTTAAATCACTCGGAATGGAAATGTATTACACGACCTTGTATTTTTGTAGAATCATGTTGTACCTTAATTCGGCTCTTAATCCAATTCTTTACAATTTAATCTCATCCAAATTTCGTGATGCATTCCTTGCGGCTGTTTGTTGCCAGAAGACGAAACGTCTTTTACTCCGACAGAATACATTTAATACAACTTCGAGTTCAATGTTAATGAGTTCGTTGAAGAATAATAGTTTAAATAAAAATGCTCAACCTCTTCCTACTTCTCCGATGGTTAATGGTAAGAAAGAGTTTAATCAACAAGAGAAAATTAAGAAAATGGAACCTGAATTAATGGTCAACGATTGTCCTATTGATTTGATTTTCCACAGTTTGAAAAAATCTACACCTGGAGAAAGTTATGTATAATAAACGTTAAAATGAACATTAAATTAACTAATTTCACTCGATTGTTGTTTTCATTGATTCATTCGGATTATCAAGAGTTGAAACATTGTTGGCAAAATGATAACAATGAATAGATCCGAGGGAATTTTGTTTCTAGAGTAGATCCATTCAGAAAATTTGTAGAACTTGGTGATTATGGATTTTAGCTCTAGGCAGAGATTAAATTCATCATAAATAACGAGCAAATTTGTTATTTATATGAGTCTGAGAATCAGGGGATGAATTTTCACGAGAATCACCAGATTTAGACTGATTCAATATTTGCTAATCACAGAGAGGGAAAAGTGAAAATTTTGTTTTCAAGTAAATATAAATTGAGGAAACACTGTAAATACACTTGAAGGTATTTAAATTGTTATTGATAGAATAGTTACATTGAATGTATTCAAAATTTATGATTCAATGGTTTCTTCAGTGTGTTTTCCCTTGCCTTCTCCAGCTTCTCTGCCTTTAGCTCGTCTTTGAATAATATTTTTCCTATCACGGTCCATCTTTAACTTGACAATAACAACTTTGGAAGGATGAATACCAACATGAACCGAAGCACCATTAGCCTTTTCTCTTTGAATTCTTTCAATGTGGATAACATATTTGGCTCGGTAACATTGAACTACTTTGCCAACTTGTGATCCCTTGTGATGACCTCGCACAACCTGAACAAGAAAAAAAGGAACCAAAAGCAAAATTAATAAATTTAGCCAACACACATGGTCCAACTGGAGAGAGTTGAAACAAGACCAGATTTAGACAAACAAGAGTAACAAACACTTACTTGAACTTCGTCATCTTTACGAATTGGCATACTTCTTACACCATATTTAGTCCTCAATTCCTTTGAAAGAGGTGCTGACATAATCCGGCGTCTAATATGTGATGGAGCATTAAAATGCCTTTTCCTTTGCTTCCTTCTGGAAGAGGTAACTAATTTATTCATTTTAGCCATTTTACCTGAAAAAATCCAAAGAGAACATTAAAATCACGTTAATACTCAATTTCGGATAAGAAATAATCACAAGAAAATAAAATTAATACTCACAATTAATTAAATTAAACACCGAAAACCGAAATAAATTCAACTAAAAATCTCAATTTAGTCTTTCAAAAACGGAAAGCTTGATTGTGAAAAGCGGAAATGGAAACACGAAGAAAGGGACCGCATAGAAATTGAAAGAACATTTGAAAACAGAAAATACAAACGGTCCCTGATGAACGAATGAGAAAATAAATTGGTTGGTACAAAGAGAAATTTTTTATTGGTCCCTAATCGTTTCTTTGCTGTGAGAATAAAAGAAAAAGCTATTTACAGATATTCCTTAATTTCATCACTATGTAATTCTGTCAATCAGATTAATTGTTGATAATTTACTCCTTTTATAGTGAACCTTATTTATGTTGACAATCATTCCATTGATTATAAAAATGTGCCATTAAACTTTGACATCATTGATTAGTATTTTTTTTCGCTGTGATGAAATTAGAGTAACCTTTTTGTTTGTTGATTAAAAATTGAATTGATTTTAAAACAATCAAAATGAATTGTGATCTTTTAAGTACATTAACTGGTCATAAAGATCGTGTTTGGTCAGTTAAATGGAGACATTGTGGCAAAATTTTAGCCTCCTGTTCATCAGACAAAGACATTAGACTTTGGAAACAATTACAAAGTAAGTTGAACCCCAAGTTGCATCAGAAACAATTGGATCAATGAAATGACTATTTTTTCACTTTTTTTCTCATGCCCTTTTTGGTTTCATTGTATTAATTTAATTCAAATATGTCTTGTATTTTTTTTCGGTTTCTTGCAGATAAAGATGATTGGGCTTGTGAATTTGTTCTATCTGAGGGACATCAGCGAACAATTAGAAACATTGATTGGTCCGCTGATGGTGATTACTTAGCTGCGTGTAGTTTTGATGCTACGACGAGTATTTGGGAAAACAAATCAGGTAAATGGGAGTGTTCAACTAACCTCGAGGGTCATGAGAACGAAATAAAATGTGTGAGTTGGTCACCTTCGGGCAAACTATTGGCTACTTGTGGCCGTGATAAGACTGTTTGGATTTGGGAGAAGACTGAAGAAAGTGAATTTGAATGTGTAAGTGTAATCACCGGTCACAGTCAAGATGTTAAAAGAGTCAAATGGCATCCGAAGGAGCCTTTCATGGTCTCTTGCAGCTATGATAACACCATTCGATTCATCAAGGAAACAAATGATGATTGGTCGTATTACCTTACACTAGATTCACATGAATCTACGGTGTGGGCAGTTGATTTCAATAAATCGGGTGATCGATTAGTTTCATGTTCAGATGATAAAACAGTGCGAATTTGGAAAGCCCAAGATGATAGATGGACATGTATATCAACTTTATCGGGTTATCACAATCGACCAATTTATGATGTTTCCTGGTCATTAAATGATAATTTGATCGCAAGTTCTGCTGGAGACAATTCGATAGTTATTTACCGAGAAACTCAGCCAGACTTTTTCGAAGTTGTTACAAGGAAAGAAAAAACTCATACATGTGACGTTAATTCAATTTCTTGGAATCCTGTTGAGTCCAATCTCCTTGCTTCCTGTGGTGACGATGGAATAGTCAAAATATGGAACATTAAGTAATCAAGTTAATCACATTTATGCTCCACCATCATAAACCTTCATCTAATTTCCTTGTAATAATCCAAATCAAGACCATAAATTGTTTCTGTAAAAGCCATTGCCATTTTTTGCAAACTCTATATGATCAACTAATCACTTTGTGTCAATAACTGTCCAAACAACGTTTCAAATAAAATCAATTAAATTGCCATAGAAGCCAAATGGATTTATTATCCTTGTGATTTATACAATCAGAATTATGGAAAGTTATTAAAGATACTAAAGATAATTTATTATCAAATTATTTTTTTCCTTCTTGCTTTTCATCGGGTTGATCTGTTTCCATGGGTTCGGGTTCCTTTGATTCTTTTGTCTCAGATTTGCTTCCACCGTGCGCTTGTTGTAACGACATTTGCATAGCATAAGCTATTTGCTCTTCTTCGGTCATTGCGGCGAAATTGGGCATTGGAGTGGAACTCGAAGCCATCGTTTGATCCTTGTTAGTATTTTGCTGTTCGCTTTCTAATGACATTGCCAATGCTTTTTCGAGAAGCGCTTCTTCTGTATTGGCACTTGAACTACTCGCAACAGTAGCTGAAGATTCATCCTTGGGCTTTTCACCGCTGGTTTCTCCCGATTGAGCAGAAACTGCGGCAACTCGTCTAGCCTCTTCTTCTTGACGTTGTCTTTGCTCTTCCATTGATACTCTAAGAGCAAGAGCCAATTCAGGATCTTCGTTAGGATCAATACCAAACTCGAAGCCTGAACCACCTAAGCCTACAGCACCAGTTCCATCCTCGCCTTGGATTACAGGAGAGCTTATCAATGCATCTTTGAGTGAGAGAGGAGGAGAGAAAGAGAAAATAAATTAAAAACAAACCAACAAGTTTAAGTAAATATTTTTAGCTAATCTTGAGCGGAACTATATTGGAATTGAAAGAAATGAACCATGAGGTCTTAATCTATAATCAATAAATCTAGAAATCATGACGATTAACTTACCACTAAGATGAGGACCAGGAGGGACAGTGACAAGATGAGACCCAGTTCCATCTTTGCCGTTGAGAGTATTGATAAAAGCAGTTAGTTTTTCAGTGTTTTTCCCTTCTTCACCAAAATTGATTAGATCAACATTTACTTTCTCTTTCTTTAATCTTTTCGCCAGTTTAATTAATTCTTTCTCATCTACAGCAACAGGGGAGCCAACAAAAGCTACAATTCTCATCTTGTGATTTTTACCAAGTCGATGCTTCAAAGCTAAGTGAGCAACTCTGATACCAGTAACTAAAAAAGTAAAAGCAAAAACAAAAAGGTCATTTTTCACTCAGAGATACCGACTAAATGAACAAAAGACCTACCTAAATTTAAGTCCCCAGCGGGTTGAACTTGATGAAGTTTAGCAAGAATCCGATTGACATCAGCAGTTAGAGTAGTCAATACTTGAGGTGATGGAGCCATAGTAATAAGACCAACATTATTTTCTGGATTAGATCGCGTCTTTGAGTGACATATCAATTGAACAGCTTCTTGTTGAGCCTGTAATCTAGATGGAACGAAATCTCCATTCCTCATATATTCACTACTGTCAATACTGAAAGGTAATAAAAAGAAAACAGGACAAAAAATTTAAAGAAAACAATCAAACAATCAACCAGAAAAAATTCAACTCAATGCTCTCATTTTATGACAGATCAAAATTAACCATCAAAAAGAGACTTGAAACAAACAAGAAATCAATACCTACCATAGAATCGTACTTTCCAAGACCATGATGCCAAATTTAAATTCGAATTCCAATTAGAACAATAAAACACAATTCAAAACAATTAACCAAATCAAACCAATTTAAAAGACAAAACTGCAAATCATTTGCGAGACAAAAACAAAACCGAAAAAGGGACCGTCTCCTAATTACGAACATTAAATTGTGATTTTGAACCAAATATTCAAATTAAATTATCGTTTAATTGTCTAATTGTTATAGAACCAAATTTAACAATTAACTTTGGAAAAGCAACTCAATCAAAGAGATAATGATAGTTAGATTTATTAGTAAAAGAAAGAGAATCTTTTTTTTGAGATAATTAAATCTCCATAACAATTAAAGGTGATCAAAGTCGAAATAATTAATCATAGAAACAGAAATATAATTAATGTGATATGAATTGTTAAGGAAACTGTTTCTTGTGTGTTCATCTATTTTAATTTAATCGTAATAATTAACTTGAAATAATGAAAAAAAATGAGTAATTAAAATTCAAGAGAGAGAGATTGAATCTCATAATTGTTAATAATGAGTAATTGATTAGTGCAGAAGTTAATTAGTGTTGTTTAAATGTTAGAGAAAAAATTAATCAAAGTAACAGAATAAACAAACAAGTGAATATAATTAAGTTAATCATTAGATAATCACAATTTAAATGGAAAGAGAGAGAGAAAAAAACAATGAAAGGAAAAAGTTTTTAAAGACAATGAATTTTTCCAAATGAATGATTAACATGAATTCATTGTTGAAATGAGAGAAAAGAATTAAAATTAAATCAAATTAACTGGTCATTTGATTGCTTAAATGATCTCCATTAAGCAATCTCAAGAAAAGGAAATTCGAAACAATTAAGAAAACTCATAAAGCGACATAATTAAAGTTCAGAATTACAATTAAAAGACATTTAATTTCTATGATTAAGTTGAAAGGAAAGAAAAGTTTACTGAGAATTAGATTATGAAAAAAGAGACATTAGCACATTGAGAAGAATGGACAAGATAATTAAAGAAATTGATGAAGATAATGAAGAGAAAAAGAGAGAGAAATGAAAGAGAAAGATGATGAGGATGCTCATCACAATCATCTTTATGTTATCATCTCTGTTTGTGTCTCCATCGAACCATAATAACCACGATTAGAAGATGAGGTGAAAAGGGTAACAAAATGTTCTGAAGATGATTAGGATTCTCATGATGATAATAATGATGATGGAGTTAAACTGTAAGGGATTGTGAGACTTTAAAAGGATAAGATTCTCATGGTTATTCAGATAAATATCAACATCTTTTCTTGGTATCTTATCAAATTATATGAAATCTCATTTGAAACCCAACCAGAAATTGAGAATGATGAAGATGATGAGATAGGAAAAGGAAATGGATGGCAGGAGATGGAAATAGATTGTGATTTGAAAATGATATCGAACGAGAAAAAATAGAAATGAAAATAAACTTTGAAAGGTAAGAAAGTGAAATTTATCAACAAACAGATTGAATAAAAGTAAATGATGATGATGATCAACATGATTATGATCATCATAAGCAATGATCATCATCATTATTTTGATGGTAGTTACTGGAAAAATTTGTTTATTGATCAACCAACTGAAACTTTCCAGCAAATACAAAGGTAAGAATAGCGAACCAAACACATAATATGAATAATCAAGAATATAACAATTTGGAAAATTCAATAATTCATTGATCCAGAAGAAAAAAAAAGAAAAGTTCTGTTCATTTATCCTTCCCATGAATGAGAAGAGAAAACGAAAAGAAAACAATATACTCGAATGATAAAGAAGATGAAGGAGAAAAGTAAAGAAATAAAACAAAATTACATCCGAAAAAAATAAAGAATAGAAGAAGAAAAAAAAACAGAATTTATTTCACAGAAAAACCTAACACCAGAACTCAGGGTAATCATATTTATCAATATTATTCAGCTTGGAATTCAAATTCCTTAACCAACCTGTGTGTTCACCCTGAACCTTATCCACAACCCCCTGTTACTGAAATAGTAATAAACTTCAATCTGAATCCCAGAACTCAGGTCAATGTACATTAATCATGATTAAATATCATTACTCCAGCTTAGAATCAACATTTATCAATAATAATTCTTACTCTTTTCATCCCACCTTAACCCTACTCAAGATAATAATGTTTCATGGTTAGAATTACGTTCAAAAGACATTGATACAAATAACTATTGATATAAATGGTCATTCTAAGTAATGGTCAGCAAATATATTAATACTTTATCTATCTTGTCCAGAAGAGGCTAATATTCAATTTCAACAGGTAGTTTAGCATCATAATCATATCAACTAAACCTCAATGAATTAAAGGACAGTTCAAGTTCATTGAAAAGTTTGGTATCATCACAATTATCATCATTAATCAGTATTAACCATATTCAATGATAATATTTTATTCAAATAGTTTGACAATAAATGATAATCATCATCAACTTGACATGAAAACTCAATTTATATCCCACATGAAATTGAACAATAACAAAAACAACAGATTATCAAAAACTTCAGTCATGTTGATTTCAGTTGATAAATTTAATAAGTGCAACATTTTAATCATGATGGTTATTGAAGATTTAGATTAACAGATAATTCAGTTATCATGAGTACACATTATAAACATGAATGACACAATGAACAATAATCATATCATTTTATATAATTTTACAATCGCAATGAAAAAGTTTCATCTATTGGGTGAAAACTTTTCTATCATCAAACTGAATCTCGGACGATTTCAAGTATTCATATTTTTGAATAATTATCATGATTAAATTGAAGTTAAATGAGTTGAAGAAAAGATAGAAATTCAATTTTAATTTTCTTCCTTTTCTTCTGGGAACATGAATTCACCACGTTAATTATTCGTAAAAATATATATTTGTATTTCTATGAGGATGCGATGGAAACCATGATAGGAACTAAATTGAAAGAGTTCAACTTTTCATTAGGAATAAAATTGATTAAACCAGAATTATGTTGATTAGCAGAATGATTTATTTCTGACATGTTTAGATTCCAAGTATATTGTTATTATCATGAAGATGAGCATGATTACTATTATAATTTAAATCTTTACTTCATCTTTTTCTTGTGAATTATTTTTAATAATAATGATAACTGTAGTTAATACATTCCCACTCTCAATCCCACTCTCAATCCCACTCTCACTTCCCATCCATCTTGTCATTCATGTTAAACTCAAAAATTTCCGGTTCCGTTTGGAATGATGTTGGAAAATGAAATCTTATCAACATGATAAAATTATCCAGAAAAAAGTAAAACTTTTCACTCAACTTTTTTTGTCTCGTTCATCTTCATGTCACGGAATCATATCGTTATCCAAGTGACAGAATGATGAGGATGCTAAATATACACCATGTAGTCAGAAGACTGAATCATGGTGATGGAGAAGATAAGAAATCTTCTTGTTGGCTCAATGCTTTTTGCTTATTTAGCTTTGAGGTTTTATCTACTCAAGAGGATTTTTACTCAATTACTTGAGATAAAAAATCAATGACCATCAATGTAATTCATTTGCATTTGTTTCCTTAAAGTAAGAAGGTCAGTTGGGTCAATAAAAGAGGTTACAGAGTTGGAAGGAATTGTGGAAATGAAGGAGAGATTGAAGAAAAGAGGAAGTGGATTCTTGACCACTAAGTGGGTTAAGAGAAAAAGTTATATTTCTTTTCACTTCCTCATTTTCTTTAGGTTATTTATCCCCATCAGATGGAAATTGGATGAATGCGATAATTTCGTGATATCACTTCCCGTTAATCTAATCATTCTAATTTTGTTTCAATCTCGATTGTGATTCAAATTTCAATTGTTATCCTGTTGTTTACATGATAGCAATTTTTAGAAGAGTTATAAAGCTGTAGAAACAAAAACTTTTCTAGCTAAAGATCTTAAAATGGATCTTGAAAAGGCTAAAAAAAAGTTTTGGAATTTAAATGAATACAATCTTTGGTTAGTTCTTGAATCGTCCTCATCTCGCCTACCTAAAGTCTTTAAGTTCAAATTGAATAGATGATGCATTTTTTTCTGTTCTCAGAACATTTTTTCTTTTCGTCTTCTCTTGCTTCGATTTTATTCTTAGAACGATCATGCCTTTTTAAACTATTCTTTATACTCACGAGGAAACCCCAATTATTAAGGAAAATTTTCTTCTCAAATTCTTAACTTTTTTCTTCTGTGTAAATTTGAGAGTTTCCTGGTTTTTATGAAACAGAGAAAAATGATGATTGGAAGCATCATCATCCACAGGTTAGCCATCACCATGATCATCATAATCATTGAATCTTTTATAGAGTAAACATAGTTGGTAAACAATTTCTGGAATCCAATTACAGAAAAAAGGAAGACGAAGATGATGTTTAATGATGAGAAGATCATCATGAAGAAAGGTGACACTCAGGCGAAATTCACTTTTCTTCTATCTCTCTCTTTTCCTTGCCATCAATAAATGAGGAGTGAAGATTATTATTCCTTTTCTATTGAACTTTTTATCATTTCTTATTTTTGTATAAACTATTTTCATTTTAAGATTTTTTCAAGAAATTCAACTCCGTTTATATCCAACCAACAGTTATACAGGGGAGTTTTAATCCACGGCTATTTAACCGCATATCTAAAGAGCTAAGAGTCATATGAATGTAAGACTTGACCAGAGGACTGAACAAAATTGCGACGCTCGACCCTACGATTTTCAAGGTCATTGAGGTCATTTAACTAAGGTAGCGTTTAAAGGTCGTTTTAAGAGCGTCGTGTGAAAGACAAAATCAAATCACACCTCAATCAATTTAATTTTAATTAATCAATTTTATTTATTTTTGATTATTTATTGGGTTATGGATTCCCTAAAAAATTTGAAAATCAAGCTTCGACCATCAATGGTTTTTTCATATTGGTTGGTGAAACCTCGATTTAGAAATTTGATTGCTAATCTAAGTTTATTTCTTTAAAGGTTGAAGGGGGATAGTCTTCTATTTGCTCTCATTGCAGTGCCTTCTCTTGTTGAAATTGTTGGTGATGGTGTGAAGATAAATCTCTATCGAGCTTCCGTTCCTCGATTCTACGAGAATCTACAGAGCCGGAGTTATATTA